ACTATTATACTTATTATTATTATTATTATTATTATTATTATTATTATTATTATTATTATTATTATTATTATTATTATTATTATTATTAGACTTGTTGTTATTACTCTCGCCTTCCCGAAGCAGAGGTGATTACCCTCGTCTCTCCGAAGGAGAGTTGAAGGGTATATTGCAATAGGGCGCGTCTGTGTGTGTGTGTGTTTGTGGGTGTGTGTATGTGTGTGTCCTTTCGGGTGCATAACTCAAAAACTACAGGACCGAGTTACTTCAAATTTTCACACATTGCTAAATGTATCTCGGTCCTCCTCAAATCTGGTGCTGATCGGAAGTACTATTTTAAAGTGTTATTTATATATTTTCCGGCAGCAACATGGGCCTACAGAGCCAACTCGAGCCAATCGTTCGGCCTCGTTTGGTTAGGCCGAGCCGGGCCATTTTTTTGCAGTACACAGATATTGCGCAACAGGTTAGGGTTTGAAACCTCAGATTTTCTTGTTGTTATTGATATTGTTGTTTTATTGCTATTGTTATTATTATATTTGTAATATGTTTTGTTGTTGGAATTGATGAAATTAATCATTTTATTATTTATTTCTAACAAAACAAATCTCTATAAAACAATATAATTTTCATTCTTAGCATGGACCTTTAAATGAAATGACTTTTAATCCATTTTGATTCTAGTACAATCTCATTTGAAGTCAATACTTTGATTCTTTTAAAATGCTTGTGGATTGCCCAGATTTTTCCACACTTAGGCCTAGTCATTTTCATTATAGCTACGCGATCGTGTCATAGTTGTAAAATATACCTAATTGGTGTTTTATTTCTTTTGCGTCAACATTATCTATACTGACGCATTCAATAGGGCCTACAAAAATCACCAACCTATTTTTCACTCTTGTTAACCCGATCCACTCATAAGCATTATAATATATCGTATGGTCTGTTGTGTTATTTAGACTCGAGGGCCGACGGACTATCAATGCTGTTTGAAGGACGAAATTTGGATTTAAGTAAACTAGAAACTAGTTTCGTTGCTATTTTGATGAATGAAATTATCAATGCGCAAGATGTGACGGTTGAGTGCTTTGAAATCCCCACAACAGATGTTCAGACCACGTGAGTGTTTCGGCCAATAGAACACCTTTTAAAAATTAATACAATATTTTGCATAAACCAAAATGCAATTAAGTAATGTGTAGTTTATGACGTAAATGGTAGTGATCTGCGACAAACTCTCTCAAACACTGAACACATGATAGTCAATTATTTTTCATATACTTATTGCATAACCGTATACTTAGGCCAATTCATTATCGTATAAATTTACTTCCTTAACATTTTTTGAGAAATAAATACTACTACCACCACTATAGATGAATACTATTAACATTACCACTACCACTACAAGTTACCACTACCTACTATATCTAATACACTACCGTATATATTCCACTAGGCCTACTGTTACTATACTGCACTACTACTTCTATATCTATATAGCTGCTCAGCTGCTCTTTATATATTTATTAGGTACCAGCATGCTAATTATAATATTTATTTTTTTTTAATTAATTCAATTGAAATTAACCAACACGTGAAGGCATAGGGCCTGTGATAAATTAAATTGTACAACATTTGTCAAGCTACAAATGGACTTGAATATATTATTTTTAGATCTTTTAATCAATTTTAATTGCATAATTATTGCTATAAATCATTGAGATCATTCTGTAATTTTTTGCAGTGAGGACGTGACGACAGTTGTGTTTATTGTGCACATTAATGAATCATTCGTCAGCGGGCAAGAGATTAAGGAGATAATTGATCTAGTACCGATGGAAGAGCTACAGAGGATGCTGCCCTACGAGATTTATGACACACGGAAACAAAGCCAGGTTAGTTAAAATGGAGTGCAACCAGGCTGGTAAATGCATGACTAGTGTAATAGGTGTCAAAGTGGTGATAACATGAGCTGACGCTCCGCGATGTCGCACGAATAGTAGGACCTAGCTAGTTGTCAATGCGTCTATATGCAAATTTTCCATGCACTACATCACATACACCCAACCAAGTATGAATAGTGTAATTAATATAATTGATGATACATATAGAAAAAGAGATATGATGTTAGCTCGTGGAATCACTGCTTTAATATTACTACGACGCAATTATTGCAGCCTTTTCATCGCCATAACGATCTCATAAATAACATACTGTAAGTTTTTGTGTTATGCCTTATAGGAAATCTGGCCTATTAATGACGGGAAGGTAAACATACTGTGTGGGAGGAGTGGCGAACCCCCCGCAGCACTGCCACTTAACGTCAAAAAGATATGAGCACTGCGATCCGTGAGCCGAGAGCTCCGGTTTTGACTCTACCTACCAGCCATTTGTACTTTGCACCGATTTCAGGTCCATTCTTCGAACGATTTCGGAAAAGGCCTATCCCCGTCATATGAAAAACTACGCTATTTGTATTTTGACGTACGCATGTAGAAGTAGTTAATGATTCAAATTATTTTGATGACATTTTAATTGATTTTGTTCGCTACTCACTCATATTATTTTGCTCTCGTTATGATTACAGACCTTCTTTTTTGCTTTCTATTGTACTGTACTTCGTTTATTCGTTTTACAGAATTGGTTCGATGTGTACATGATCTGGATTATAGGGGGCGCTGCATTATTAGGGGTTTTTCTGATCATCTTGCTGATTGTCGTCTGTTGTACGCGTTTGAAGTAAGTAACTAGGCCTACAACAGAACGTTCATTTTTCGTTAACCCACACATGGAACTAATAATTATCATGATCACTATTTTAATTGTTGGATTTTTGTGTTATATCACTACCATAGTAATAATATTTTTGTCTTAATCATAATTACTATGCTGAATACTTAAATATATTCATATATTCTTTATTTTGAAGGTCGAAAAAGGTTCGTGAATATTCATTTGATAACAAATCTGAAGACTTGTGGATAACGACACGTACCATTGGTCACGTCAGAACACCAAAGGATAGTATTGCTGAAAATGACCAATTAGAGTGTCGGGTATAGACAGTAAAAGTGCTGCAGTCAAACGTTAATTCATTCCAGGCAGCTGACGTCCAAGGCTTTCTAAATTGCTGCAATACCTTTAGGTTTAAAAATGAGCTAAAAGAGGGATGCTTATTTTCATGCGCGAAATTTTCGGTTGCAACAAATATTGTTTTGTTTATTTGTTAACTAACCTTTTGCTAAGTAACGGAAGCCAATCAGTGTGCTAGTAATACTTTAGTTTCATTCAGGACGTAATCGTAGAAAAATAAGTAGATTACATGTCCCTACAAAGTATATACCGGTGCTTATCTAACTTATGATATAAACAAGACAACAATATCAGCGATGACAGATAATTGTATCATAGTCAACTTTTCTTCAAAAAAGTTCGCGATGTGAATTGCTGGTAGAAGCACAAAATTACAAATGCAGTAGCCTTGAAATTGAATGTTGGCCATGGTTGCACTTTTTTTCATAAGAACACATTTTATAAGAACACCAAGGCTAAAATTGCTTTAAAAATACAAACAAAATAAGAACAATTTGAGGCGCGGCTGAGGTAAAATATCAAAATGAGGTTTTTATGAAAAACCAAAAAAAAAAACCAAAAAAAAAAAACAAGAACAAAACAACAACAACAACAACAAAACAACGAATCCAGCAAGTCACATACAATAAAGTATTAATTAATGTTTAAAACGATTGTATCTATTCCATTAACGTCACCATATGCGATGTAATCGAGAGTTCTTCAAGGAACGACACAAAATACTCGACTGAACTTGTAGGCTACTTAAAATGTATAATTTCCTCCTCAAACTAGCCGTTCTCATAGTCTCCGTACCTTTCTGCCAACAAGGTTGTACGGTATTGTTTAAAATAAGAACAAAGTAAGAACAGCCTGACCCTGAAATTGGCAAAAAAAAAACTGAAACTGAGCAAAATTTTACTGGTTCTTATAAAAAAAAGTGTAACATAACATAATAAGAATTTCAAAACTACAGGCTTAGTGAGTAAGGGCTCCGAGAGACAGATGTGTTAAGGTGTAGATATTAAATTTTAAAAGCAAAGCGAAAGGTCGTAGTAATTAGATTTGTTATTTCAATCCATGTAGGCCTACATTTATGTAAATGAGTCGACTTTGTTAAATCCACATGTACATTCATGTACAGATTGATCCCCGTCTGTTAAAGATAATGTATTTGAGTTGAGTTTTCTAACTGTATATCCATGTTTACATTGTAATTTCTCCATATGCTATTGTATGGTACAGTGCACGCGAATTAAGAGATGCTAAAAGCAGATTGTTCTTTTATTAGATGAAATTATGTATATAATAATTGTGATTGTAGAATACGCTTTTTTATCATCTGTTTTATAGAATACACATGTGTCAATAGACAGAGATACAAATAGTAATTTCAAAGTAATTACAATAATGTACGTTTATTGTATCTATTAGTTTGGTGATGTAAATTTTTAATGTTCACACATAAAAAAAATGACATGATAATATTTAAAAAAAATCACGGAATAAATCTCATAAAATGAGATATAGGCCTATGCTATCTCCAAATAACTGTATCATTTTGTGTCGAAATGTTAAATACTAGATTAAATTTAATGAATTCCCAGTACTTTTCATGAGTTACCGTTATAGGCTAAACAAAATCGAATTTGCGAACGTACTTAACGACAAACTAAAAGATTCGGGTCGGTTCGTGAAGCTAGACTTGTTACTTTATAGTCCTTGGCGCCTCAAAGTCGGCCTTGTTCTTTATGTCTATGTTTTACCTTATATACTGTATATTTATTAGATTATGGTTTATTTCTGTTTTTTTTTCTTTCATTTAGTTAAATGTAATTTCTTCTCATAAAATAGGCCTGCAGCCAGTACTTGATGAACAACACAATAAAAGAAACACACAAGTAGAAAAGAATTCCCAAACAGCGAACACTGTCACAATAGATCTCCAGCAAAATTCACTGATTACTAAAATAGTTGGACAAAAAAACTATATCTATGTCTGATAAAAAAAAAATAGATAAATGACACAAATAAATACAAAATACAATATTAAAAATGTTGTTTTTATTATTTTTCTTTACATATCATACATAAAATATTAATATTGTTTTTAACAGCCTGATTCTCAAAATACTGTTTTCATATTGCGTCACAAAACCAGACACGTAATCAAGGCATTTCATCGTCTTGGAAACAATGTATCCAATCAAAACCTTGCTTTTATCTATTTTTTCTGGAAAAGAGTCTGACCCTGTTTTTTAAATACAAAAATATCAAATAATGCTACCAAGTAAAGCGGTGTTATGCTGTTGATATAAAATGATAACGGTAAAGTGCGTTCGCAGTAATAATAACAATAATAATAATAGCAATAATAATAATAAGAAGAAGAAGAAGAAGAAGAAAAAGAAGAAGAAGAAGGCCTAATAATAATAATAATGTTTGTTTACAATGCTTAATACCGTGCAAAAAATGATTCTAAGCGCTTTACACAAAATGAACACAAGAAATTGAATGAAACCATAAAATATCCAAACAGTAACCAATAAAATGAAGGATACCAACTAAACGCAAGAGGAATCATTTACACAGATTTTTTTTTTTACCTGTTTGATTGAATTTATTTATTTATGTTAAACATTTTACTTAAAAATTGTGTTTCTGTAAGCCTAGTTATGAAAGTTTGCTTATTTTCTGTAAAAACTGTTAATTTGAAAGCACCACCATTATGTGCACCACCGATCTTGAAGTGTTATTCCTAATAAATTTATTGATTGATTGACAGCTCAGTTCTCCAGCACTTTGAAGCTCTCATAATTGACAGCTCACCGGTACAAAATTCACAGGAGCTCGAGTGAAACTGGTGCCTGACCATTCTATCCTACCAACAACAAAAAATGTAGAGTGAATTTTGAGGATTTAATCAGTATTTCAGTTTAAACAAGAGGAGCAAAGTAACTTGTAATAAGATTATGCTTTAGACATTTTTTAGAAATGTAAATTGAGGCCGTCTGTTCTATAGCTTGTGGAAGATCATTCCAATGAGAAACACTAAGCTTTGATCGGTTTACCAATACGATTATATTTTTATCAAATCATAATAAAGTTACTTCCCCAAAATAATAATTTTTATAATAATAATAATAATAATAATTATAGGCCCTAATAATAATATTAATAATAATAATAATACAATTACATGAATAATAATAATAATAATATATATTTAATAATAATATATTTTTAAAGATTATGACAATGATGGTGACGAAAATTGATATGGATCATTATGATTATAATAATATTAATTAACTCATATTTACACCTAAAGAAAAAAAACGATAAATACAATGAACATTAATACTAATTAATACCAATATACATTATTATATGAAGTACAGTTATATCAATGTGTAAATAATAATGATGATAATAATAATAATAACACGGCCTGAGGAGGTTTATCGCTGTCTGTCTTACACACATAACAATAGGCAGAATCGGCGACTCCAGCTGTAGTGACATATAGTGGGTACTAAATGTAAACATCAACATCATAAACCACAGTGCACTCATTTAACACAGTATATTGAGAGAGTTATGTTTTTTAGACAGCGACATAAAGTAAAGTAAGGCAGTAGGCCTGTGTTTTTTGTTTTTTTTTGTAAATAGTGAATTATAATTACATTGACAATCTCCGTGCACTTTATTTAGGCTTTGGAATGCTGCTAGTGTACGGTAGGTTACATATTATGTATAGGCCTAGGCTGCACTGTGAGTGTTAAGCCTCGACCAGGGCCCGGAGCAGGGTGGGAGTTGTTATGCTTCGATTATATATCTCTGTAGTCGGGTACTGTAGGTAATAAAGCAGAAAATAAACATTAACGGTACTGATTGCTCAACCAAACTTGTGAAACAGGTGATAATAGGCCTGGTTGGTATGGTAGGGCTACATCCTAATGCCAGTACGTAATAATAATATATCATATGATGAGATCATTATCCTCAGCAGTAACTATAAACATCCTATGATTTAATTTTGGATTTAGAATAACTGTAACATAATATTCTTGTAACAAATGGGAAAATTCGTTTTTTTTTTTGTTTTTGTTTTTTTTTTCATTTGCCATGAATAATATTCTTGACGTAGGCCTAGGCCTACAACGTACCTCAGCCGGCGTTGACTCACTGGAGCAAATATGCACGTCGTGAAGGTACGTGCCTTTCCTTGAAAAAAATCCAGGCTTTATTCCCACTATCCATTGGATCCTTACCAAACCAAATTGATAAGTGTTTGAAAATTTAATTTTGGAACACTTCTAAGTGATTTACCAAATTATAACTCGCATTCCAAACAACATTTGCAACATCTATGATGTGACTTGCATCAACAAGGCGAAGCCATATTCAATGCACTATCGTCTCGCGATCTCGATAAATGTAAACAAACCCTAATACCTACTATAAGTCACGTGACCCGAGCCGCCGATTCAGTCTACATGTATTTAATAATAAACAATAACGATAATAATAATATACAATGAAAAATATAAAAATGAAAAAAAAAATAACAATTCATGCTGCCAAAAATAAACACGTATTTTATGGCATATTATTTATCTGATTTCAGTTTGTTGTAAACATTTTTTCATTGCTGGATTTTCATTGTTTTTTAGGAAAGATACTTGAATGTATGGATTTGATTCACAGCGCTGTCTGCTGCCCTCATTCGGTAATAGAGACTTCTGACTGGTAGCGAATGCGGGATTAGGAAAAGACGTATCACCTAAAAATAGAACCACAATACATGAATGTTTATCCACTAAAATCGCAATGGCTTGATATATTCATTATGAAGTAATAAATGAAGTACTGAATTGCCGCTTCAATTACTATTCCTTCTCTGTTTCTCGTGACCGTTTGTCGACATGAAGAGCCGTCTGCTGACTGAATGACAGACTGGGCGCAAGCCTCGTCACGTTCGTGCTCTATGGAATGACGTCCTTTGGTGCATTTTATGTGTTTTAGGGAAAATAATTTGCTACTCGGCTTAACAGATATTCTGATATGTCAATCAAATTGCTTTATAGCTACGCGCGCGCGTTGTCCTGGTAACTGAGACCATGTAGCGATTGCAAAACCTCAATATTATTGACATGTTAACACAAATGATTGGTCTGTAATATTATTAAATTAGATGACATCAAGCCAAAATGACAGCTAATAGGATAATGGCAATCTATTCTAAAAAAAATGGGTAGAATTTAAACAAACGTAAATTACGCCTTCAATAACATACTACGAAACATCCTCTTTAATGCACCGTAAACTCTGCAGTGCATAAACCATCAAGTAAGAGTGACATTCTTAAATAAGCATACGAGAGTGAAACACGAAATTCCGCAGTAATCTTTATTGTTCTGTTTTGTAGTGTTTATGTCTCTTGTCAATTTCTGGATAGTTTAAATCTCTGAAATCATGTCTGCCACGAAGAATGTTGAAACAGATCATTATACTGTAGGACTAAGCCTATATCAATTGGCAGACACAAATACTGCAAGCTGGCATGGTTGGTCCAAAATAAAGGTGTCTGTCGATACCCCTTTTGCTGAAGCAAATTTTGCGTACACGGTTGTGTTTTTTAATTAGCAACTAATTTCCATTGTAAACTGAGGATGTTTCTTTCTTCAAAACGCATCATATTTGCTGTGTTTAAACCAAAGGTAAGGAATTATATTTGTGAGCTACTGCACACGTCGGCAGCATGTGTTAGCAGTGCGAGGAGCACCATATTTGAGGAACTCGCGTGAGTATTGCGCATATTCCGTCATCAACAAGCATACAATTAGGCTTATACGGTGCGTTTTCAAACACACCTTCTACGTCATCAACACTCACAATGTGAGCACCGCACGTAAAGGCCAACTCAGACAGCGTCGGCCGATGCAGCCCGACACGATTTATCGTCGGGGACAGTCTTAAGCCGTCGTGAGAAATATTAAACACGTTTAATATTCTACTACGCGACTGCCCCCGACGCACACCATCACAGACCCGACGCGACAGCAAATCGCGTCGGGCTGCGTCGGCCGACGCTGTCTGAGTCGGCCTTAATATTGGAATGCGCAAGATATTCACTATTGTAAAAGCTAGTCATAACTTGAGATTGTCACGAGGGGTAAATGACTGTTGGAACAGTACTTATAAGTCAAGCAATTATTATGATGATTGATGAGAATATTTCGTTTTTTCATTAGATCCAATTTCATATCCGCACTTTTCTGGTTAAAAACAGGATCTGAGAGGTATCTTATTTCTCATATAATTGATATAGAGAAACTGTAAGCAACATAAAATTCATTAAAAGATACATACCGGATGAGGCCGACGTCGGCGAGCTTGCAATTGAACCAGGCGGGGTAGCCACAAATGAGTTCGGACTGTCTTGGTTTCTGTGGAATAAGAAAATGAAAACTCATTGTCATTTTAAATTCGGTAGTGTTTGCGTTATGATGTTTTCAAAATAATAGTAATAAAATGTTTCCGTGATTTATAGAATGAGGATATCCTTGTTTCGATATGAAAGTATATGTCACTTCCTATGTTGTTTGGTTAAGTCATAGAGCAAAGAATGGTTAAGTAAATTTCAACAATAGGCATGTTTAATTGCAGCATATCTAAACCTATTACAATTTTTCATAAGACCCAGAGAATTTTGTGTTCACACACACACAATTTGCCCTATTGAGTCCACGTCACGGTATCGTTTGGAACCTCAACAACTATGATTCAACTGGAGGTACACCCCGAGTCAATATTGGGGTATATGCCTACTGGTACTCGTTCACATTCACAAAATTTATACATAGGACGCTTACACTCTCATTAAACACTCATCTTGATGGGGGTCTTCACACCCAAACCTGTTTGAGTCAATAACGGGTGCTCGTACTCACCCATAAACCGTCTTGAGTAAACTGCGTGTAACGTACTTTTTCACACCCATAAACCCTTCGGTATCAAATTTCTTGAGTCAACGGAGCATGATAGCCGTTCACACCTACTATTCATTGGGTCAATTGGATTACCCATTCACACACACAAATCCTCTTTGGTAAATCGGGGGTACTCACTCATACACACAAACCCCTTTGGGTCATCCTGATAGGCCTACTCAGCGGCGGCACCAACATATTAGACCTATATATTGTAAGTGGACATTCGTTCAGTTCACTCCACACATTCACTTCATCTTGAGTGAAGATTCAATCGAGGCACTCAATCGCACTTACTCATCTACCGTCTCCATACTTACATAATGACTTTACGACGTCTTGGCGTATTGATTAAGCAAACAACCATAATGAGAGCCAACAATAGCGTAAAGCAGATCCCACCGATTAGGTAAACAGAAATGTTGATATTGTTTACATCTAAATGGAAACAAAACAATTTTACATGATTTTATAATCCTTATAATGAAGATGATGATGATGGTGTTGGTGGTGATGATGATAATACAGTACGCCTGTTGATGATAAGATAATGGTGATGTGAGGATGATGATGTATAGGTACGAATGGAAAACATTGACATACCTGTTGGCTCCTTTGTCGTCGTAATTGTCGGCATTGCTGAAAATATATTTAATCATGATAAATTATAAGATAAGATATTTATTCAAGAATACATATATAATTATAAAGTTCAGTAAACAGCAATCTCTAAAACTCATCATATTTTGGATACACCCTTCAATAGTAAACCAATAAGCAGCCAACGTGATTAAGGCATGCAATCATTGACGTTCATGAGCTAATACGTGTTTAAGCAGTTTTTCTTGCGCGATTTAAGGCTCACATGCACGTTATAGAACTCTCTACAGAAAGAGAAGTATAGGCCTAGAGGATTTTCTCAGTTTCCAGTCCAATCACTATCTCTGTATACAAAACACCTTCAGATCTACACCTGCACAAAAAAGGTCCTGTTCACTACAATAACAAATACAATGCAAATATTAAAATTCGTTATAAAATAATGACTTGAATACAACTTACTCAAGCATCCTAGTAAATCTAGACGTAGGACTATCTGGCTTTCCCATGCTAATGGATACACGCGTAGAGAACGTACAAACACCGGCGAATCAAAGTAGTTGGTTGTTGATGAATTCCCATCAGAGTTTCCAACGAATAGCTGTCAATTAGTAAAAGGTGAATCATGGTTTAATATTTATTTTATTTATTTATTCATTACAGGGGCGGATCCAGAGATGTCCGAAATATGGACGAAGCCTTTAGACGATCAATAATTTTCTTTCTTTCTTTATTTTTTCCCCTTTTAAATAGTTAAATCTGCCCTTGCAAGAACAAATGTACATTATGATAATTAGAACATCTTATGTGCTATCTTGGTACAGGTTCTGTTAAACACATACATGGAATGCATTAGTATTTGCAATTTACCCACGTATGTCAACAATAGTTTGATTTATCTGAATAAAACCTATAGAATTGATTTTTTCACCACTGAATTTTTTACCACACAGGCTTAAAACCTCGCGTAGTTTAGGTTCACTGAACACAATCGTTCATTAACGAGAAGTAAAAAATATAACTTTTATTAAATTAATATAAATAATAATATATATTTTAGAATACGTATTATTGTACGATAATTGTTTTATATCTAGCTCATGTATATTTAGATCTATAAGATTGAAGACATTCAACATTCAACAACTTTCAATTACAGTGCGCATGGGTTTAGAATAATTGGGCTACAAATTATACTGTTGTATATAATTCCCAATAAAGGCTGGTATTTACTAACACAAATAGGCATAAAAACTGAATTTATATCGATAAGACGTCATTCATTCGAGTATGGTCTACATACCCCGTCGTCATATTCAGGACCACCAACGCTGCGCCAATGCGTATTATCCATGCTAACCATCACTTTATAAGCTGACACAAACTCATCTCCGAACGGATTGCCTCGAGTCTCTATTCCTGATATGTGATGCTTCTTCGTCAAATCTACCTGCAACCACGGGGATGTATCGTTTTCTTCGGGCTGCCAGCCGAAGAAATATAGCCATTCATCAGGAGAGTTCTCTTCCGTCACTAGCCTGGCATTTTCAGCCTCCATTCCAAATGTATTGGATGAAGATGAGAACATATTATCATTGCCATTTTTCACTAAATAATCATGGCAAATTCCTGAAATAAAAATTAGTAATGATAAAAATAATAATAATAATAATACAGATCTCGAACTGAAAGCAACGAAGATGGTCATGATAATGATAAAAATGACAATGATGTTGATGAAATAATGTTAAAACATGATGAGTACATATTAATAATAAAAATAACAACAATAGTAATATTATGCTGTAAATATAACAAATAATGGCTACTATAATAATTATAATGATCGTAATAAAATGATCTTTATCTGTGCATGCGGTTTTAATGAAAATTCATTTGGTCCATCTGTACCTGGTTGACATGTCCAGCACTCACAGTGTACTTGCCCAAATTCGTTAATAACTTCATCACAATCTCCACAGCCCAGCCTAAAAAGAAAAATGACGACATTGTAGGCTGGTGGTGCTTGGTTCTATTGTCATGCATATGCTAGGTTGGCCTACCACATTGAGTATTGTGTCACCTTGATGCAAAATGCATTAGACCCATAAAGTAGAACCCCCTCCTTTGGGACACTCTATTCAGGTGACACCCTTATTAAGGCAATATATCTTTAAACACTACAGCCAACCAGGGACGGCGCCAGAAGGGCCCCCGACGAGTGATCCAAGCTCCCTGACAAGGGGTCCACACCCCACCCTTTTTGTTTGGAAGCCTATCACCCCCACAAATGACAATTTTAAATGATGATCTTTAGCACAGTCGGCTAATCTGGTGGTAGCCACTGTGTGTGATCTCTAGGTCCCCGGTTCAATTCCCATCGCTGCCTCTCCTTGTGTTTCAGCTAGAGGGCTGAAATACAAGTTACAATAGCGCACCGTCTTTCGGATGAGACGTTTACACCGTTGGTCCCGTGTGCATTTATGGCCCATGTGCACGTAAAGAACGCAGTACACTTTTCAGAAAAGAGTTGGGGATTGTCTCCCGGTGTACTGTCCAATCACCACCAGAAGGACCCTACCTACTGGAAATAAGTCTTCTTCTAGACTTTCGCGGGCTATCCTTGGTGTTTATAAACATCAGATGTACTCCTGTCTCTTATACACATCTAGATGTGTATAAGAGACAGAGATAAGATTACTTGAAATATAGATGTTGTACTTCTTAGTCAAACAATACATTAAATATAAATAATATATATATATCCTATATATCTGTCTCTTATACACATCTAGATGTGTATAAGAGACTATATATATATATATATATATATATATATATATACTGCATATATGTATAAATATAATATTAACAAAGAAATAATTGAGAGATTTCATTTTGTATGAAGTAATTGTGAATCAGTAACATAACAAAATATTGCAATTATCTTCCTATCGGAACCCAGTGCGCGGGCGTATAGTTCCGTTTCACTATTAGAATAACAAAATAGATGATATTAAAGGGGATTCCACACAATGACAACGTATTTATAATGACCAAATATTTGTATTTTTAATTTAACAAATTATGGAGTACTGTACTCCAATAATAAACCACATTATTATAGGCGTTTGCGGACACTAACATCTGAATCTAAAATCGTTCTATGATTTATAGTACTAGCTCCAGATATTTATCTGAACCCAGGACTGTATCCAGAATTGCCATTGAGGGTTGTGGGGGTCGGGATTTGCAAATAATCATAAACAGTTCCAGAGGGCAGAGCCAATAACATCACAGCTTCGATTTTTCATTACTATGACAATTAACTTTAATGACCAAATACTGGCCTAAACGAATTTTGCTGGTTAAAATGTAAAGGTTTAAAATCCTTTGACCTTTTCTACAGAAAATATTTAAAAAAAAGATGCAGTACATTATCGACTGTCGCCAAAAATGTGGACCTTCACGATGCTTTTCGAGTGGCGGAAGACAGTGCGCACGCACCCTTCGCACCACTTTCACCTCCTAATACAGGACTGTTTGCAAAATAAAATATTCAGGCCCGTATCCAGGGGGGGGGGTTATGGTTCGGGAAACACCCCCCACCCTTTTTTTCTAGCAAACCCCCTCTTTTCTGGTGAAAGTCCTTTAAATTTCCTAAGTGTTCCAACTCAACTAATGCACTGCAGTCCTACCCACACACAGATATTTTTAAACATATCTGCTTTTATAGCATTATTTAGACCCAAAAGACACACAAATCCTCTTGCTTTGGGGGTTTCGCCGACCCACCGGGGCTTAGACTGTGGACCTCACGCCCAGAAACCACCCCTCCCCCTTGGAAGAACATGGCCACGGGCCTGATATTATTAAAAGAGGATTTTAGAAAATCCTAGAAACAGTAATATTCATGCAATCTTCTTTATGAGGTTACTGAAGTTGTTTTTGTTTTTACAGTTAACAATGTCGTATGCATATTGTCATTTAGAAATTATGATTTCAGTCGATATGATTTTACAGACGGCATTTATTGGCATCGTCTCGCTCATTATACAAGTCAGGAAGTTGTACTTTACTATTCTATCTTATCTTGCTCTGTCAGACTGGTAATGGTATCGCACGACCACTAGCTATGCGTTAATCGTTATTATGACAAGCGGTACTTAGCTTTGAAATGGTTACATATCAAATAAATCGACTGTTTGCATTATGTAGGCTGTGGTGCGTTATTAGGTTATTATCTTGGTATTACCGGCCCAGGAAAACGTCTCTGTTAAAGTACACCCAAGGTGAATAGTCTTGTCGTTGTACATAAACGATTAAAATTATGATAATCTCAAAAACATAATGATTGCACCGTATTTATACACAAATGTTCATTAATACTGAATAATTTACCGCCACAGATTAGTAGACCAGACATAGTCTGTCAGTCTGTCTCTACAACTACCGTACCTTTTGTTTTCCGTGGGTGAGACAGATTTTGGAGGGGATTATTCGGTCACCACTCGCTTCCCAAGGCAACAAATCGACAAAAATTGCTGGTTCACCCACGTCAAAAACATCAAACGTGGTCCTGCGGTAGAGCTACGTGTCACAATAAACGCCTAATTGGTTTATTATTGGCAGATAATTCGTACTTAATTGTAAAAATTGAAATTTTACTATAGAGTGCATTACCGTATGGAAAGTGTAGCCCTAACTTATAGGAGAGCAAATGAGGCTATAGATGAGTGCTGCCTGGATAGCCGTAGGGATTTGCAACGCATACAACAGGGTAACTGGCGTGTGTACGTACGTGTGGACATGATATATCTCCACACTTGTTCTCGCCTATACCGGATACAATAATTGTGCTCACTTTTTAGACAGATGTGCAGTGTCTGAACTAAAATATCTATCCTTAGGGCCGCTGCTAGGTCAACTGAATGTATAAATATGACTCATTAAAAGCGATCGTGATGCAAAATCTGAATCATTTCACAAAACATCAACAACATTCATTTCGGAAACAATGCATGCAATCCATCCGAAACAGATTTCTAGGCTGTGTTGTCCAAGCTCAGTGACTTTTAAAGGTATTAAAGTTATTGAAACCTTAAAAATATATATAATATATACGGTATACAGTGTATAGGCTTATATGTACATTATATATATTTACATATATATATATATATATATATATATATAAAGTATATATATAAAATAGCGTCGATCATTTATTTAAAAAATTTGTAAAAATCATGAAATAATATTACAAAGATCAGCTCATATAACAGAAAAAAATATGAAACAATGCAACAATATCAGGTAATAAACTTTCCTACGCCGGACACTATCCCGGTATTTCTGAATCAAGGTTTCGGGACTTGAAAATGGAGATTGCGATTGCAATGATAATGCATATCGTCTATTCTGTTATTTTCCAAAGTGCCTTTCTTTACAGAAAGCAGTAGCACTTCGTGTTGAATCCGAAAACTAACAGCAGCTAGTATAGCCTGTCTCTTATACACATCTAGATGTGTATAAGAGACAGGTCGCATGGTTGTAAGGCACATTATGAGCAATAATATAAAAAGACGCATTCTTCCAAACATCTTACCAGTTAACCATATTCATTTACGATGTGCATTCACGCTACTCGAACGCATCTGATAAAAATATTAATTATTAAACATGATTTTTTCTAATTAGCTAATACTCTAGGTCATACAGCCAGCGCTGGCAATTACCATCAACTTTGATTATTCCATTAATTTATAAAGTCGTTTTCCATAGTTTAGGGCCCATATCAATCAGTGTGTTATAATTAACATCTGGTGTAGATTGTCTGGATTTTGAACCCCTGCCAGAATGTGTACGGGCTTCCCCTGGTTTAGTGGTTCTCATTATCGTTGATATCCGTTTTTTTCTTCATAAGAAGATGCAATCCAACGGCTAGACGTAGTTTGAACAACCCTCCTCTAGGGTATATCTTTGTCAGTGTATTAGATGGCATTGTATTTGTTCTGCAATGCCATCTATCAGTTACAGTTGTTATATATCCTATATATATATATATATATATATATATATATATAAGCATATATAAATAATTATATATATACTTATATATATATATATATATATATATATATATACATATGAAAAAAATGTTAGAATAAAGGAACAATATTGTATATGCTGCATAATGAGCAAACATGCCATAACTAAATAGCAATGAATGAATATTAATGGAGGTAACAGACAAGGAATCGTGACGAAGTATGAAAAATAACAATCAATCTCCAATGGGATTTTAACCAAAGACCTTTATATTCACGGCTAATGTAAACAGAACGAAATCGTTGCGAAGAATCCACGTACTTGCAGCGATTGGAGACAATTTATATCTTTACATGAAATGGAATACGAACTTTGTCAAAGGCCTATATAGAAAACTCAGAGCAAATGATATGTTACAGATTCGATTCGTTTGCTATAATTAATCGTGTCGTATAATGCTGATTACAGAAGGCACCATCTACAAAACAGCTTGCTCGATTTTTAGTTGCATTTAAATTAACTTATTTAAACCGTAATTCACTGCATTAGTGTACATTAGTGTTCGGTGCCTTTTTCTCTCATACACTTTAAACATAGGTCTCTACATACTGTATTAATCTTGTGAAAACGATAATAGTAATTTATATATTCCATTCATTTCAGTTTTATTTCATTCTTTTTATTTGACCAAACAATAACAATACAATACCGTATATAATAACAATGTAGAATATGAAATATGATATAAAAATAACACATGAAAATGTCTACCATAATGACTAATGCGCTATACAAATCCCACTTATTATTATTGTTATTATTATTATTATTATTATTATTATTATTATTATTATTAATCATATAAGTTTACAATAGGCCTATTTAAAAAGTTAAATTTTAAAAACATCAGTCACATATATTCAACAAATTACCTCATCCTTGATCTCAACTGACATCTTTTAAATTACTCTTATTAATAACAATAATACTATTTAAATGAAAACTTAAGTCAATGATACTACCGTACCAGGACTACTTACTTTTCCTCCGTACAGCATCCATCAGGATCACACATCAAGTCTTGTTCTCCTGCGACCGATGACCAGAGAAACACCAAACAGCTGAGCCAAATAAGCTGCATTCTCTTGATAATATTTTAGAAGCTTCAACGATCGGACAAGACGACAGTTCAAATGAGGATGTTCTCGAGGAACCATAAAGGAAGCTTTTTAAAACCAGCGTCACCGACTCCTTCGAATACCGCTATCTATAGGGTTACTACGTCATCCGGAAAGAATCACAAGTACACGCTTGTAGTAAAAATCACGGGAAGGCACATTGAACTGCGACAGAAATAGACCTATACACAGTGCATGCAGATGATTCAAAGCACTCTACGCTCAAAATCATAAATAAGACTAGGCGAAGCCAAATTTCCCCTTAAATGTCATAATGAAAACAAAGCAGAGTGAGGCAACGCCCTCAACGGTAATCTAAAGTAATTTGAGTTCAAAATACTCGTAAGTGCTATTCCTTAATACAATCGGAAGACACGCGTAGCTGTGGTGGCTGTGGTGGCTGTAAGTCGTCTTGGAAGTAATTCAAAGAACCCAGGAAACATAACAACCCTGTCGTCAAAACAAGTAACCATAAATTAAGTGTAGGTCTACAGTAAATACGTACGAAAATCATCCTGTGTGGTTTTTAAGACTAATGGTTTGGATACCAAATGAAATTTAATCCATATAAATAAAAACTATATACTTTACAAAAAAAAAAAAACTTAACTGGTTCCCGATTATTTAAAGATTATTTCAAAATCAACCCTCTGATCAGTTCAATAATTACAAATCTTAACGACTATGCCTACTTCTTCATTGAATGATTAAAACGAACAACGAAACAACCACTGTCTATTCCTATAATTAAGGAAGCCTCTTTTAAGGACCACTGCAAAGAAAGTTGGGGTGACGGCCTTGGCTAAAGAAAAGTCCGACCTAAAGACAGTTAATTTCCATAACTTGTACAACCCTATTAGAGGACAACAAACAATTTAATACTTTTCAATGTTACCGGACTTCTTTGGAAGTTCCAAAATTGTTCCTGTTCCAAAGAAAAGTTCAAAACTTCAGTTTTAGAGGAAAGTCCCCTCCTTTTTCACCTATACCCTAATCGTGACTACATATTTTTAGCCAGGGATATACATAGAGAAATCTTTATACGAGAGGTCAATAACCTATATAGGCCTATATTCTTAATAAGGAATACTTTATAACAACATCCTTATAATGAAAGAAAAGGAAATACTTGAGAGGCGCACTTGAAAATGCAGGTCAAGTTAAAAAGTGTGGAATATTTTACAAATACATATAATTTATTACTTGCTTTTTATACAACCGTAAAAGCACGATAACTTTGATACGAAAAAGTAAATTTGATACGATAACATCTTATGATGTCATCCTTTGCTCTTTTTTCCTTCCTTTACGCACTTCTTCTTTTCTGTTATTTTTTGATGTACTGTCTGCTTGTCCTTGTAAACGTCTTCTTGTTTATTATTCTTCCTTGTCTGTTTTCCCGCAAATCTTTAATTTGTATCTTGTTTTTCGTGTCCTTTTCTTTTCTTTTTATTGGTAATTTTTTGATGTGCCAATTTCTTCTAATTGTGTTTAAAACGATTTTGATGTATGTTTTTTAAATTTAAATGGTGATGTTTGATTTCTTTTGTAATTAGTTTTTTCATTGATGTATTTGTTTCTGTGAATGAATGAGCATTAAATTAAAACAAATAGGCCCAACTGGACAGTTGATCCAGCAAGATAGAATTTAGATCTAACAGGTCAAGAAAAGATGCATTGGTATGGATGGTATGGTGAAGTTAAACTTAAATTGATCATTGATACAGGTGATACTGTGTATAGTTTTGCCATGTCAAATATTAAGTATTATTATTGTTAGACCATGAAAATCGGTAGGCTGATGGTCCAGCCATACTATATCCAAGTCTGATTTCATGGGTCGTCCAAGCCAATTTCAAACTATTGTACAGTATGGTTTGAATCACATGCCTATGTTAAGCTGATACTGCAGATGGTCCAGTCATGCAATTTTAGAAAAATACTTTGTGATTACAACATCTGTTCCATGTTGAGGAGGTTTGAGCTTTATGAGAAAAAAAACTGGCTTATCAAGGAAGATTGTTAGGATTGCTTTCTTGTGAGGATAAGGAATTAACTGTGTAATACTGTAGTCGTATTGCCAGATTCTTCAGAAATCTGGCAATTAAGTGAATCATGGTTATTTTTCTTTGTAAACTTGTTTTATGTTTCCCTGAGCACGGCATTTTTTTTTTTTTTTTTTTTTTTTGCCTTTAGAAATAATTTTTGTTTAAATTAAAAAACCCATCTCAGCAATTTTAATATTATTATTTATTTATTTGTTTATATTGTATCTACAATGCTTTGTAGCAAAACCTAATTTGAAAATTTGAATATGATGTACTAGACTATCTACGATCTATAAGCATTTCTAGCTTAATCATTGTTCCACTATAATGTGTGAGCGTATATTACCCTTTTTTCACTGCCAAGGTGAGAATAAACACTCGTTAATTCAGGAGTTATACCGAATTCAATTCCACTTACATGGAACGAAAAAGTCCAGGTTGATTGAGTTAATCCATTGTACACCGACAACTAATGCGGTTTCAAATACTGCCCTCAATTTTTGTTTCGATAGCGATCACCACAGTCAGGCCTGCCACGCAGGATTTTTGTTGGGTGGGTGCGAATTTGTAAAAAGTAGACCAAATGGCTCCAGGTGTGAGGGCGCCTAGGCGAAAAACCCTGCTGGGACCGAGGGGGCGGATCTCAGGAATTTTTGGTAATTTGAGGTCTTATTTAATCGATTTCTGAAAATGCAATAGGCCTTTTAAACGGTTTTCAGTGGCGGATACAGAAATTTGCCAGGGAGGGACTTCCACAGATGCAGGAGCTTCCACAGATGCAGGAGGTACCATCTCAGCCCCACCTTGGTTGGGGCTGAGGAAAGAAATTGAACTCTCATACAATTTGAATATCATTTTTTCTTTTTTTTCCCCATTTTCTATTTTATTTTGAAAAATTTAGGGCTGGGCCTTCTTAAATTTGTCACTACGGTCTTTGGCGGTCTAGGAATTTAAAATAGAGGGAGGGCAAGGGATGGACTTTCACAGATTGAGGGTCTATAACACCTCAGCCCCACCATGGTTGTGGAAGCATCTTGTCCACCTAAATGTGATGGATGACCGCAACCAAAATAAGGAATGGAAAGTAGTGACTTAAGGGTGTTAACCAAGACTAGGATCCAATAAGAATTAAATTGTCTCATGATTAATAAAATAATTAAACCAATGGAATTTATTAAGTCACGAATAAGGAAGAGCCATATCCTTCTTTAAGATACCCTGAACATTTTCATACATAACAGGACCAAGTCGACTGCATTCCAAGTGAGAAAAGAGCGGTACCTCAGACCGAGGGTCGTGGCTTTGGCCATGTGGACATTCCATCAGAGTAGGCCTACTAGTAGTAGTACCAACATAATTTTATATTAACTTAGATGGAGCAGAGTCTACATCGTTCAGCTCTGATCGAGCTGACTCTTAATGGGAGATCGGGTAGGCTGCTGTCCTAATCGAAAGTTAAGTTAGGTTAGATGAATGGAGTATTTCAAGATATTATGCGGGAGGAAAACCCAGGCCTGATCGTCGATATCGGAAGGTTTACGATTTGCCTCGATATATCCAGATGGACGATTCTCTATTGGGATTGATTATTGTATAATATCTTTCGCAATTCCCGTTACTGATTTCGATTTCAATTAGACCCCTTCGCCGTATTTTTCGTTTGCATATTAGAACATTATTTTCTATTGGACAGTTGGCTTTGAACAAGTATCTTTCATATTCGAGCTCATTGGACACAATCGACCTCACGTGAGTAGTTCTTAGGTTAGTTTAAGTTATCCCTATTTGTAATCGCTAAGACTGGGGTTAGTGTTAGTTGCGGCTATTAAAATGGAAGATAAGAGAATTTCTGAAGCATCATTGAAAAAGAGTGAAAATATTATTATTCTTTCAGGATTAGAAATCCTCAAGAAATCTTTAATGCCAAGGATCTGGTTCAAAAAAACATCATCCATCAGCACTAATTTTTATTTTTAACTTAAATTATGTGTGAAATAAATTTTTCATTAACGATATACAGCTTTCCTCAAAGTTTTTTTATTATACAGTATAATAATTGCTTTCTATTGTAGGCCATGAATAAATAAATCAACCATATGTTAAACGACCAACATGAGCATCGAAGTATTCATATAGGCCAATTATTTTTATTGTTACGTCATTGTACACTAGCGTAGAACAATCCTCGCTGATGAATATAGGTTACTTGTTACACGTGTAAATCTAACTATTGTAATCAACGGCATTACATTCAATTGACTCAACTGGCAGTTCTACCATTTTAATTATCGCAAATGAGTAACCATCTAATGATTAATGAAATATTATACAATAATAAAATAATAAATATATAATAAATAAATAAATAACAGCGATTACCCAGCAGCAGCAAAACCAACAGAAACAACGACATCATCATCAACACCATCATATCAAAATCAGCATCATCAACAAAATCATCAACAACAACAACTACTACTACTACTACTACTACTACTACTACTACTATTAATTTTCAATACTTTGTATTTCATTAGCAGGTCCCTTTAACTTCATATTTAATGGCCCTTTCCTGATTGTAAATCATGCTCAACTGACCAATCAGAAGGCAGACAAAACTACGCGCTTGTCACAGAAACACACGTGTTTACATACGTTTACGTCATTTTGTGGACTTCAGGAACATTATCCAAGGGGCTATTCTTAGAGGAAAGCTCTATTTGTACAAAATGCCAAAGAAAGTTTTTCCTCCGGAGCCAGAGCATTGGGAGTGTTAGCTCCTAAACACCAAAACTCGTTACACAAAACTGTCAACAACTGTCCAATCAGAACGTGTTAATATATAGAGGCCAGGAATACACGCATGCTGCGCACAGACGTACACGTTTACGAATCTACGTTTGGGGTGTCATTTTGTGAAACCCTAAGAACAGTATCCATGAAAAGAGGCTATGCAGAATTGTCCATTGTTTCATTTTTTTAAACAAAATGTATTATGGATAACAATCTTATACATTAGCAGGCAACGTATATTAAAGGCATGCGCAAATAGGACAGAGGTAGTACAAAATAGCTGCAAATATTTAAATAAACATTATTGGAAATATTATAAGTTACTACGGTTAGAGTAAAGCACTGATTTGGCAAATAATAGCATTGCATAATGTTTTTGATTCATATTTGTAGGCTTATATTGTAAACTGCTTTGTGATTCTTACAGGAATTTTGGATTTTATCGGAACTGCAATTGGTTGTGACATTTGAGTATTTTCTCTAAACGCTTGCTTCATGAATGGTTTTTGGAGTTGACGAATTTTCGATTCCACTACTGGCATGGTTTGAAACAAGCTTGAATCAGGCGTTTCGCTGCTTTCCTGTTTCAGTATCAACCCCAGTTTGTTGTCATATACATTAGGTTTGTTGACTTCTGTATAACTGTTTGCCGATTTTTCAATTTCTTTCAATTTGTTTACAGAATCACTTGGTTCATTTACAATCGGAATGGTTTCCAGATAATGTGTGTCGGTTTTATCATTTATTTTGATGTCATTAATTTTAGTTTCCAAATATTGATCATCTGCGGCAGTGTGCTGTTCACTCTCATTCGCTAGGAGGCGCTCGTTAGCATTATCAGTTTCTGAAACCAAGGGGATTTCAGTTAATTCATAAGGTTTAGAGTAATTCGAATGTTTACTGTTCGGTGCTAGGTATATTTTGTTATGCATTGGTGGTGATGCATCCACAAGCTGTAGTGAAGCGTAGTCATTGGCGTCCACAATTTCCCGACTATATGAACGTTTCGTACGATCGACTTTGTTGTAACCTCTCGAGTCGCTTTCATTCCCCGAGTCCATATTAAAAGCAGTTCGTGTGCCGTTAAATACTTCGTCGTCATCATCATCATCAGAACTACTAGGTGCGTTTCCTGTGTTTATCGCAAGATAATTGTGAACAGATTTTCGTTTCTTTTTTCTCTTAATCCTTTCTTCATTACCTGACCCACTGGTACATACTTCCTCGTCATCATCACTCACCTTGATACTTGGAACATTCATTAACCTCTGTTCACTATGGTCGCTTGACGAGTCAGTATTTCCAACTTGTGAGACATTGCCAGACGATCCCCCACCTTGTGATACAACCAACGGTATATGGGCAATGGCTGCCGTCAAGTTTTCAATTGACTTTCTGAGTTCCATGTAATCATCCGACAATAATGCCCGCTCTATGTTGTTATCTAGACGACAATTTGAATCAACTTCAATATTGAGCGCGTTCGAACTACCGTTTAACGAATTCATTGCCGCGTTCGTAGGTTCAGATTCGTCGTGTATTTCGACCTTTGCCCTGACGGAACCGTGTACTGCCAGTACTGAGGAGCTCACAGAGTCTGTCCTGTTTGGTGGCTCTTTGAAGCCCCAATTATCCACACGGTCCATAGCATTACTTTCTTCTTCGTTTGCTATATTTACAAATTTCCCAGCTTCCTCGTCCTCTTCGGGTATTCCCGGAAGTTCTCGTTGCTGTACAACTCGTGTTGGATACATTTTAGTACTCGATGTTATCGAACCGACGTCAGTGTCGATACTATTACGACCTGAAAGGGGGAGGAAATCGATATTGATCAATTGAATATGTTCAGAATCTATAAATTACATACCAAAACTTTCACTTATACTACTTCAAAATTTATAATCGAATTTTATAATTGAACCACATGAATGGGCACGATAATAAACAACATAAAAATTATGCATCATTACATATTAATAATTTAAAAAAATATTTAAGGATTTTAGATATCTTTAATGTACATGTTTTCTCTCGTCTGGAAAATCCTGGCACCAACCTTGGTGAAGATTAGAATGATGAAAAAACAATAAGAACAATATTTTTTTTGTTAGGATGTGAGGATATTTGTGACGATATTCCTTACCGGATCCTACTTCATATACGATATCAAAATCATTAAATGTATCATCGACATCCGTTGCTCCTTGTTCCCTAAAAACAAATAAAAAATACGACTACTAAAATTTGTAATGGCTACTTTTGTACTCCTAAGTTTAGTCAAGATCCACCACACACTGTAAATTTATTGATTTTTTTTAGTAGATTTAATTCGTTAATATACTCTCTGTTCTATCAAACCAGGCATGGACAAAACTCCAGCCAATGACAAATGTTTAAACAATAGATTAACTCTTTCGGTTATTGTAAATAAAATTGGTTTTTAATACATTGTATTGCGTATGAAAAACCACAATGTCCTGTAAAATTCAAAATGGTATAACAGCTTGAACTCATCATCAATTGGTAGAACAACCAAACGTACATTAATCTGGTTGACTATGGTCAAAAATGGTCTATCAGACTCATTGTTGTCAAAACGAGTTGCAAAGCAAAGTGTTATTTAATAGCATTGTTTAAAGTATAGATTTGTATGTAATGCTAACACATGCATAAACACTTTATGACCAGTTAGTGGTAAAATAAGTGACTGAATTCTGCTAATATGTTACCTGTTTAACGTCAATGATTGGCTGACTTTCGTTAAAGGTTTACGCCGCCAGAGGGCGCACAGCAAAATAAGAATTAGAATTAGCATAACACTGAGAATCACACCAAAGCTGATAGCCGCGATTGCTGTGGCGCCAAGAGTTGTGGATCCTGAAACAAAAATAGGTTAATTTCGTATAAATAACCTTAATTAGATAAAATACTAGAATAAAGTCAAGTGGGTTTAGGGATACTAAGATAATTAATCAAAGAATTTAATATGGTCTTGTTGATGTAATAATGAAAATTATCGACCTAAAAGCAAGTATTTGCTATTTGCTATTATTTTGGTCTAATTTAAAGACACTTATATTATATACACTAAGGTAATTGTTCTATATAAAGACGGGAGACAGCTATTGTAACATGTAAATAAACATAGTCAACATGGGCGTAGTTTTGTCCTCACCACTGAGAAAGCTTTAGGGTACACGTCGACGGAACTAAAAGAGGATGTTCCCACACTTCGAAAATATCGAAGAACGCGTCAACTCATCCGCAACCACCGACGACCATAAAACCCATAGAGCTTCCTGCTAAATTAAATTCATGTATTTGTTGCTCTTTAATTTTATTTCAAATATCCTCTACATATAAGTTTTGATCATTCCTCTTCATTTGTTAAAAATAACAATCAAATATTGCACAAGTTCTCATTGTTTCTTTTTAAGCCGTGTAATGAATAAAATTAAAATGTTCAAATTCATAAAGAACACAATATTGTAGGCTGTAAAACGTTAGTATTTGGCTATGAATAATATGTCGTTTCAATCACTGTGACCATGATTTATAGATTATGCTGCTGAGAGGATGTCAAAGGTGAGCAACATAATTCTAATGTGATGGAATACACAAATTTCTGCAGACTACCTAGTGGCGAATCCAGTGGAATTTTAGGGGCCCCATTGAGGGGATTTTGAAGATGGTGGGTAGGCCTTTAGACCACCGCAGCCTCATGCTTGATGGATAGACAATGGATACTGCACACCTTGATTGCCGGAAATGGCTCTCACAAACTTTGAATAACATTTGCTCATGGATAACTTTATTTTGTTTACTTAAGGGGGAGGGAAGACTGGCTGGTCCCCCTGAATCCACCTCTACTACCCATTCAAACCTACAATAATTATATCCAATTTCAATCGGTTGATTTCATAATTCATTAAATAGGCCTATGCTTGTTGAAAACACGTTATGCCCTCCATTGCTAATTAGCGCGTTAACCCAATTGGCTTACACACCATATTTATAATGTAATGTCTGCGTGAGAGAGTTGCGATTTACCTCAACCCCACCCCACGTTTCTCCAATAATAGCAATAAGAATGGGAACATCACGGTTTATTTTCTGTGAAATTTAGGATAAAGATTAATCGGTATCAATGTATCGTATTTTAAAACGAATTGTACAATACTACGAAATGGTAACTAGCCTAAAATTGCATTTATTTTCAAACGTGCAATTGAGTAATGTTGATTACCGTATTTAGTTGCTCTGTGTATTTTGTATCTACTTCTATAGGCCGATTATCAGATTATATATGTGTTGGAAAACATACCTTGTAGGCCTATTTTGTATAGAACGTGAAGCAGAATACTAAACACATTGTTAAGATAAAATAAATGTGTGAGAGACTAGTCTAGTAACGCGGAAATGGACTACATTTTTAAGCACAGAAAAACACTGGTCGTTGTGTTGATTGACTGAATTGTGTAAAAGATGAACAGAGTTTGTGTTTGTGTCTATTGTTGAGAGACTTATGACAAAGATAACAGATTCATAAACACACTTTTGAGAAAGAGATCTGTTTCTTTGTCGGGTCGATCACAACGTTTAAACTGGTTTTTTTTTTATACCATCATTTCCTTTTGAAAGAGATATAGTTATGGCGGAAGAACTATGCGAGTGTTTCTGGTTCAAGACGAGTTACCGGTACGTCAAGCGACCTATAAGATGACGTGTATCGCACGTGATAAGAAGTAATCAAATGAAATGATCTGGGTGTTACTGGTATTGACTATACTGGATTTTGATTGACAATAACAATCGGTCATATGCATCATTTTTATTATCAAGGATTATTGCTGGTAAAAGGGCAATTCAAGGCCGGTACTTATACAGACACGTAGGGAAAATCCCGATCGTGAAAAATCCCTTCATATTAAATTGATTTACTGATTGGTCGATTTCTGGAACAATTTTACAACAGCCATACACACAACAGTTGTGGTGAGTCCAGATACATAATCAATTAAACATATAAATGACTTAACTACATTGATACCGGTACCATATTATTCCCCTGATAGAGTGGTGCTTAAATAGTGTTTATAAAATGTATCTAGTGCTTTTTTTTACAATGGATAAAAGTTAAATAAAATGTATCAACGCACATCAACTAGTAACTTAGCATAATTAAATGTATCCTAATAACAAAGAAAATAAGTAAATATAAGATAGATTTCAATAAATTTGGCCAAATCTACGTATGCAGAGAACGAAGGACGCCAGGTAGGACGGTCACGCATGAGTGATTCCGCTCTAGCGTCGAGTCGTCGCACAAATCGGAAGCTCCCTAATATGAATACCAGTATAACACGGAGGCGTACGTTCTTGACACATTGCCCATTGCATCAATGTCATTTTTATGTTGCCTATTACTGCCTAGGAATGAATAGAAACGTTTTTAGGTGAACGGAGGGAGTAACTCGAAATCATACCGTCTGAAATACATACGCCGTTGGTATGACAGACTCCACTTTCGCAAATACAAGGAATGGAACACGCTGGTCCGTATAGTCCCGCCTTGCACTCAACACAGTTAGATCTAAACATTCGGATACAAAAAAAAAAAACAATAATTAAAATATAATTACTTTGATAGATGTCTAGTATTAAGTGTATGCACTGGTAGATGGGTTGATGGACCGAGTGGTGGATGGATTGTTCCATTAATAAAGGGATTGATGGAATAATGACTGGATGGGTGGATTGACTGATTGAAGAATAGATGGACAGATAAATACATAGATGGATGGACGGATAAAAACAGATGAATAGATAAAAGGATGAAATGAAATGGAGGAAAAGATGAAATAAAAATTTATGCATAGAAAAATTAATTTATGAATTTTTGATGGATGGATTGATTGATTGATAGATAGATGGACGGATAGGTGGATAGATGGATGACATAATGGATGGTAAAATGGATGGATGGATGGATGGATAAATGGATTGATTGATTGATTGATATGATTGATGGAGGGATGAATAATTGGTCGAATGGATGGATGGATGGATGGATGGATGGATGGATGGATGGATGGATGGATGGATGGATGAATGGACGGATGGTTGAATGGACGGAGGATGAATGTATGGATGGATAATAAATGAATGATTAGTTGAATGAATGATAGGATAGATGGTTGAATGAAAGAATGAATGGACAGAATGGATGAATCGATAGAATGGATGACTGAATAGAATGGAAGAATGGATAGAATGGATAGAATGGATGGATAATAGATGAATGGATTGTTGAATGGAGGAATGGATGGTTAGATGGATGGACTATTTACCTATTTTCTGGACAGGTGCACTGTCCAGTGAAAACATCACAATTTGCATGTTGTCCACATCGACACACATTAAAGCAGTTGATACCATACGATCCTTTGTTACATGACTCTGAGCATGTAATACCGGTCCATCCCTCGTTGCATCTGCATCTCTTATTCGTGAAATCCCAGTATCCACCATTAAAACATGCTTTAAAATAGAGTTACCATTATAAGATAGAAAAAACAACTACTAAGCCTTACTTGATCAGTTGAATTTATAGTGATTTTTTCCCATTTCAATTTATTCAATAAACCTCCGAATGTGGAGAATGAAACATACATATATAATTACATATTAAAAACAAACAAAACAATACAATACACATATTTATATATAATCATAGATATGTTGTTGCTTTTGTTAATCAATAAAGAAATCGCATTCCTCCTTTTATCCCGGAATATACTGTATGTATATTCCAATGACAAAACACTAAAAAGTGAAGAAGGGTGTTTGCTAGTTAACATGGCTGGATTGGTATTGGGACTTCAAACACTCCTGACAAAGGAAATGATTTTATTTTGTAAAATAATCTTTAAACAGGAAAGTCACCACTAATGTACAGTACTTGTACGCCAATATATGCTATCATAAGAGTCACTTATGAAATGGAACATTCTAGATTTTATGACAATAATAGAGTTGGTTAAAAAAGGTATTTGGTGAAATTATATAGGCCTACACTGTAACACCTGTCTCTTATACACATCTAGATGTGTATAAGAGAAATAGTATTATGTACCTGTTGTTGAGATGTGTATAAGAGACAGCTCTTACCAGCTCTTCGTCATCTTTGTTATCGGAGTATTATCTCCACCATTATCTTAATCATCATTATCTAACATCTTTATCAATATCATCATCATCTTCATTTTACTCATCATCTTCGTCCTTTCTCATCACCATAATCATAATTATGATTATCATCATCCTCGTCATTATCATCTTTCTCAACATTCACCATCTTGGTCATCATTATCTCAATCTTTTTCATCTCCCATCAACATTATCTTTAACTATCATCATTGCTGTCCCTTCCTCTCCATTATCCTTCTTCCCATAACCATCTCCATCATCATCTTCATCCTCCTCTGTATCGTCATTTTTTTGTCAGATTTTTTGCGCTATTTATTTCTGGTTTCTTATTTAGATGTAGTATGATGATATAGTATTGCTTCTGTTTGTATGATTAAAGTGAAAACATTCGCTTTACTATAATCATAATACACGTACACATACACAATATATACAGATATACAGTATATATATATATATATATATATATATATATATATATATATATATATTATTTATGAATATTCAATATATAATATTATTATCATAGATCTTCATCACTAATGGGAAAAGATAAAACAATCATTATTGGAAGTTTATCAACGTGTGGTTTATCTATTACAAGCATCTGTGGTGTTATGCAAGACCTTTACAAAACGTGAGACATTTGTAAAGAGTGTACCAACTTGGCCTTACAACTAAGATGACAGACGGTCCGAACGGTAATCGAAGGATTTAGGTTCGAATGATGAGAACAATATATTTTCTTCAACTAATTATCATCTCAGAACAATCTGAGATATATATATCTCAACATATCATAAACAACAATAATAATAAATATAATATACCGTATATATCATATATATAGGCCTGTATATAATGTATGTAAGTATACATTTTGACAATGATTTTGTAGATGCTTTTGTAATTTACATATATATTTATAATAATTATATTTACTTGACTCTATTATGATAATTAATGTTCTCGTTGTATCGGAGAGCCACTACATTTAATTTAGTTTACTTTTTGGCAATATTGAGTTCTTTTTCTCTCTGTGTCTTTATGTTTTCGTCAGTTTTATTTTTCTTTTGACCAAATGAATAAAATTAAGTATGTTGTAATAAACAACCTAAAACAATAACAACAACAACAATAATAATAATAATAATAATAATAATAATAATAATAATAATAATAATAATAATAATAAAAATAATAATAATAATAATAGGACTAATAATAGTAAAGTACCGGTATTTGTAGTCTCTCGTTATTGTCATAAATATTAGACTTATTAGGAAATGTGTTTTTTAAATTTATTTTTTAAATTTGCAAATATGTAGTCCTAGCCACCTATAGTATGTGGGCATGTTTAGAACAGTTAACAACATTTCCAAATACAGTGGTAAAAATATTCCTTTTAATAGGCCTATAGACCTAGGCTTATTTACAAGCATATAACCTATGAAGTTTAACTAGGGTTGTATGGATTCAAGCCTACTTTACTTTAAAAAAAAATAGTATTATGTACCTGTTGTTGTTTTCTCTGGAACAGACATATTTTCCTCTCTGCACAAAATCCAACACGTATGCGAATGTAGGCGGATGAGCTACAAGATAATAACTGACTGCTAAATACTATGAAACAAACGCCAATGACTTGTCCTGATCTTAAAACGTGCAGCTGTTCCCCAGTGCCGTTGGTAAAATCTTCATTCTAAAACAACAAATGTATCAACGTCGATAGGCTGATTTAAAACAAGCTTAAAACACTCCGAGACGGTATTATAATATGCCCACGTTAATGATTGCCTAACGCGTTCCCTTATAGTGCACTCTGAGTCGACGTGAACTGTTATAATGGAAGTGTTCAGTGATATGATGACGCTGAAATCTACACAAAAATGAACAAGGTCAGCAGCCAGGTGAAACCAGGAGATTATCGAGTCTTCCAACCGAATCCGGCTTGTTTATGATTCGCTTACTATTTCGTTTCGTGTTAAGCTGATTCTAAAGTATTTCTATAGTTATTCTATACGATTTTCCTTAAACGAATACGACTTCGAACACCAAAGGCGCGACAAAATGTTACACACTAACTAGAGAATAGGTCAGTCACGTACAAGAGCAAGTTTCTGGCTAGGATCCTTGGTGTTTTATGTTTTTTTTTTAAAGCATTCCATATCAGCGGCACCGACACACGTTAGACAATCCTAACGGTGCATCCAAAATAACAGCTCTTTACGAAATTTAACTCCAGTTCAGAAGGAAAACAAATTGTTATATGTTGTAGAACTGATTTTTCTAAGACATAATTTTTTGAAGAAAATCTGAGGAACGGTGAATGAAATACAGATTTTTGAAACTCTAAAAAACTTGGGGAGGGGGAAGCGGCGTAACCACCCTTTTTTACACCCTTTTCAAAATTTGTATCTGATTCACCGTTCCCCAGTATTTCGTCAAACAACGTTTTTTCTGTATTAGAAAAATCAGTTCTACATCTTATCAAATTTCTTTTTCCTCCTGAGTCTGACTTTAAGAATGAATAGGCCCTATATCGCCCTATATGTATATATATATAAATATATATATATATATAAATATATATATATATATATATATATATATAAATCATCAAAGAAAGGTAAATACAGTGTTCGAATAAAGGACATAATAATACATCGTGTAGCATAGCTCTCAACGAATGTAGCCCTGTAAATAAATTTTCTAGCCGTACTTATTGTGTAATGGAGTGTATCTGGTGGTATTTGAAGCTGTTCAACCATGAAGCCTCCGTGGTCTAATGGTTATGACGCTCGCCTTGACAGCAAGAGGTCGCAGGTTCGAGTCCCGCCAGAGGCAATTTATTACACAATTTCTTTATTCATTTATTTACAGGGCTACATTCGTTGAGAGCTATGTTACACGATGTATTATTATGTCCTTTATTCAAACACTGTATTTACCTTTCTTTTCTGATGATTTTTCTATATATAATTTAACAGTGTTAACGGCTATCTTGATTTATATATATATATAGGCCTATATAATATATTAGGCCAATATAAATTGAAAAGCAAAAGAAGCATCTACTCTAATAAAATAAAATACAATCAGAACAGAAAAAAAATACTTACATACAATAAACCATTACAAGGTCAGCATGAAAGTACAATGTGCAACAGCTTGCACAATTGTACCGTAACAGACAAATTGCACATAAAAATATAAAACAAAAGTAAAAACATTTTCCGTGCACGAAAACTTGTTGTAAACCACTTCTTAATGTATAATACTCAAGTGCCAATGCCTGTAAAATGGTTTGTTTTGTCGTCTTTCTTTAGCTTACAATTATTGTCTGTTTAAAAATGATAGTAAATATTTTATTGTAGTTTCAACCAATTTAAGTGTGCTATTATTTATGCTGCGTTCATTAGAACTTGTGAAAACATATTTCATAACTTGTAACATGCGAGTACACAAGACGAACGCTAAATGGCTGCTGTAACTTTTGCCATGTGTTCGAAAATAAAACATACAAAAAAACTTTTTTTTAATTTTTTTTAAATCTCAAATAATATTACTTATACAAATTTCAATAAATATGTTGGGTTGCAAAAAAACATACAAACAAAACTCTGAAATAATATTACTTAATAAACAAATTGCAATAAATACCTATGCTCGTTGTGCATAATTTGTTACATCCGCCATTTTCCACACTACTTGTGCAAATCGAGGAAGAGAATTCTACTCGAGTTCACAACTTGTGTTTACAAGTTCACCAACGAGATGAAAGCGTTTCACAAGATGCGAACTGGGAAACACCGACTTCACAAGTTCTAATGAACGCAGCATTACCTTATTTAATTTATTGCGACGCTTTGTCTTAATTACGATTCTTGCATTGTCTTATTGATATTTATTTTTATCTTTTTCAATTTTTAAATTATATTACTGTATATTGTATTTAATATGTTATATTCATCCTGTTATTGGTGCTTTACACTGTTGGATGCAATAAATACATAAATAAATAAATTACATACATATAAATAAATTAAAGTATATATCAATTATATAGGGGAATGTTAGGTAAATGCCAAATTATTAGTTTTTTTTAAATATAATTATAAGCCTAAATAAATTACATAAACTAGCATATAGACTACCCGTGCTCCGCACGGTGTTAACAAGTGTGAAAAGGTGACGAGGCATAGTTAAATGTTATGGGAAGTTGAGGTGGCAATCATTGAGGATGTTATAGTTACCTTGTCATTATTTTTTCTAAAGGACCTCTTTGTAGATAATGTTTTGCGTGAGTACCTCTGCCGAATAGTCCTTGTGAGGAATTGTCCATTTTGATAATACTTTGGAGTATACAGTACCCTCTTTCATGTGAAAATGCAATATATATAGTTGGGCATGAGATAAATATTTTTATTATGATTGAAGTAGGTGGATAAGCCTAACTAACAACATAGGCCGTGGATAATGTTCTGATGTATTTACGTAATTTTGAGGTGTTGATTGGTGCAGTTGACTAGACCCGAAACTTCATTTTTGCTATCTTACCACAACCCATGAACAATTTATAGGCTTTTATTAGAAAAGAATACGCGTAGTTCGTTTCGGTTCGCCATGGCGTCAAAAATGCACTTTTCTTGCCCCAGTAGTGGCATAAAATAGTGTAAAATTGAATTTAACAAAAACTAATTTCTCAAAATCATCACATTCTTCGATCGATTATCTTCAGGATATAAAACTAACTGTGAATAATAACTATAGTTTTATATAAAAACTGTTTCTGTTTAACGTATCTTTTTACGATGTTTGCTGTTGCTTGTGTTATTGCAGTGTCAGATCTATAAACTTTAAAGAGAGAATGATGATATTGCTTTGTCCCAGTCGTATGTTTTACTTGATCGATTTTTAAAACATCCCGGATTCATTGGTGATGTTTTGAGCCATATTTATATTTATATCATACTGTTTATTTAGCGGCCTTGCACGATATTTTTGTTGACGGGAAGGGATGCTGTTGTTCTGTGACGTAAACAACTCGCGAAACATGGCCGTGAAGGTACTCATTTTGGGTGATTTTTGGTTGTTTTCCCCCATTATATTCCAGTATCCAGCCTAGAAAAGTAACCTATCGTCTTCGTCATAATAGGCTATAAAAACCACAGTGTATAAAATATGAGCACATTCCTGCCAGCGGTTTCAGAGGAGATAGGTAAAGATACACCGACGCGTTAACAGAATTAACATATAGATAGGTAGTGATGTTGTTTCTTCTGCATCTCACCCTCAGTTCCCAGAGTTTTGGTGTGTTCTGCTCATAGTACGCATATTCAAATAAATTGGTAATGTATCGTTATAGGCCTAGCTCTACCTATCCCAAACAATTACAAAATGTATCTTTTTATATATATATATAAAAAAAAAATTAGGGCTAATCAGTTGTAAAATTTAATATTTAATCTTGAATACTTATTTTACATTCAAATAATCATAAAATATTCATTGTTCATAATTTACAGAATATAGCTAGGCCTATATGCTGTAGATAATTTCTATCCTGGAAATTCCTTTGTTTTTCAATCTAGCCACATACCTAGACTATAT